GACTTACTAAGCAACTCATCAACAACATAATAACGAAGTAGACAAAATTAATAATTATTGAACAGTAAAAAATTAAAGTTAATAGAGCTCTCAGTGTGTCAGCAAGAGGCGCCATTGTCCTATAGTGAAGCTGTCAGTGTGTCAGCAAGAGGCGCCACTGTCCTGTAGTGGAGCTGTCAGTGTGTCAGCTAGAAGCGCCACTGTCCTGTAGTGGAGCTGTCAGTGTGTCAGCAAGAGGCGCCATTGTCCTGTAGTGGAGCTGTCAGTGTGTCAGCTAGAAGCGCCACTGTCCTGTAGTGGAGCTGTCAGTGTGTCAGCAAGAGGCGCCATTGTCCCAGTGGAGCCGTCAGTGTGTCAGCCAGAAGCGCTACTGTCCTGTAGTGGAGCTGTCAGTGTCAGCAAGAGGCGCCATTGTCCTGTAGTGGTTGCCAGCCGCAAGAGGCGCCACTGTCCTGTAGTGGAGCTGTCAGTGTGTCAGCAAGAGGCGCCACTGTCCCATAGTGGAGCTGTCAGCGTCAGCAAGAGGCGCCACTGTCCTGCAGTGAGCTGTCAGTGTGTCGTAGCAAGAGGCGCCATTGTCCCAGTGGAGCCAAGTCAGTGTGTCGCCGCAAGAGGCGCCACTGTCCTATAAAGTGGAGCCACAAGTGTCAGCAAGAGGCGCCATCAACCTGTAGTGAGCTGTCAGTGTGTCAGCTAGAAGCGCCACTGTCCTGTAGTGGAGCTGTCAGTGTCAGCAAGAGGCGCCATTGTCCTGTAGTGGAGCCAAGCCAGTGTGTCAGCAAGAGGCGCCACTGTCCTGTAGTGGAGCCAAGCCAGTGTGTCAGCAAGAGGCGCCACTGTCCTGTAGTGAAGCTGTCAGTGTGTCAGCCAAAGCGCCACTGTCCCAGTGGAGCTGTCAGTGCAGCTCAGCAAGAGGCGCCATTGTCCTGTAGTGAAGTTTCGTCAGTGTGTCAGCAAGAGGCGCCATTAATCCCGTAGTGGAGCTGTCAGTGTAGTCAGCAAGAGGCGCCATTGTCCTGTAGTGAAGTTTTCGTCAGTGTGTCAGCAAGAGCCATTGTCCTGTAGTGAAGCTGTCAGTGTAACAAAGAGGCCGCTATTGTCCTGTAGTGAAGCTAACAGTGTGTCAGCAAGAGGCGCCATTGTCCTGTAGTGAAGCTGTCAGTGTGTCAGCAAGAGGCGCCATTGTCCTGTAGTGGAGCTGTCAGTGTGTCAGCAAGAGGCGCCATTGTCCTGTAGTGAAGCTGTCAGTGTGTCAGCAAGAGGCACCTTTGTCCTGTAGTGAAGCTGTCAGTGTGTCAGCAAGAGGCGCCACTGTCCTGTAGTGAAGCTGTCAGTGTGTCAGCTAGAGGCGCCTTTGTCCGGCGCTATAAAAGTAAAGTCATTTTCTCGCCTTATCCAATATTATTGATACCTGACTTAAATGAGCCAAACCTGACGCGTGTATAATGAAGTACCTACCGGCTGTGTGTGTCATCTACCCGGTTACTGTACGAAAATTAATGAGTGACAGTTAACTATAATGGCCGTTTTTGTGGTGTACGAGGGGGAATTGTCATCACAGGTAGTTAAGATGTCCACCAGCAGGTAGTTAGTGGAAGTGGTGATATATAATGGTGCTAGAGGTGGTAGTGGTAGTGGAGGGGATGGTGGTACTAGTGGTAGAAAAGGGTGGTAGTAGTGGTATATAATGGTGGTAGAGGTGGTGGTGGTAGTAGAGGGGATGGTGGTAGTAGTGGTAGATAATGGTGGTAGTAGTGGCAGATAATGATGGTAGTAGTGGTAGATAATAGTGGTAGTAGTGGTAGATAATGGTGGTAGTGGTAGATAATGGTGGTGGTAGTGGTAGATAATGGTGGTAGTAGTGGTAGATATGGTAGTAGTGGTAGATAATGATTGTAGTAGTGGTAGATAAATATGGCAGTAGTGGTAGAGATAATGGTGGCAGTAGTGGCAGATAATGGTGGTAGTAGTGGCAGAGAGATAATGGTGGTAGTAGTGGTAGAGATAATGGTGGTAGTAGTGGTAGACAATGGTGGTAGTAGTGGTAGAGATAATGGTGGTAGTGGCAGATAATGGTGGTAGTAGTGGTAGAGATAATGGAGTAGTAAAGATAATGGTGGTAGTAGTGGTAGAGATAATGGTGGTAGTAGTGGTAGAGATAATGGTGGTAGTAGTGGTAGATAATGGTGGTAGTAGTGGTAGTGATAATGGTGGTAGTAGTGGCAGAGATAATGGCGGTAGTAGTGGTAGAGATAATGGTGGTAGTAGTGGTAGAGATAATGGTGGTAGTAGTAGAGATAATGGTAGTAGTGGTAGAGATAATGGTGGTAGTAGTGGTAGAGATAATGGTGGTAGTAGTAGTAGAGATAATGGTGGTAGTAGTGGCAGAGGATAATGGTGGTAGTAGTGGCAGAGATAATGGTGGTAGTAGTGGTAGATAATGGTGGTAGTAGTGGTAGAGATAATGGTGGTAGTAGTGGTAGAGATAATGGTGGTAGTAGTGGTAGAGATAATGGTGGTAGTAGTGGTAGAGATAATGGTGGTAGTAGTGGTAGAGATAATGGTGGTAGTAGTGGTAGAGATAATGGTGGTAGTAGTGGTAGTGATAATGGTGGTAGTAGTGGTAGAGATAATGGTGGTAGGAGTTGTAGAGATAATGGTGGTAGTAGTGGTAGAGATAATGGTGGTAGTAGTGGTAGTGATAATGGTGGTAGTAGTGGTAGTGATAATGGTGGTAGTAGTGGTAGTGATAATGGTGGTAGTAGTGGTAGAGATAATGGTGGTAGTAGTGGTAGAGATAATGGTGGTAGTAGTGGTAGTGATAATGGTGGTAGTAGTGGTAGAGATAATGGTGGTAGTAGTGGCAGAGATAATGGTGGTAGTAGTGGTAGACACGGTGGTAGTAGTGGTAGAGAGATAATGGTGGGTAGTAGTGGTAGTGATAATGGTGGTAGTAGTGGTAGAGATAATGTAGGTAGTAGTGGTAGTGATAATGGTGGCAGTAGTGGTAGAGATAATGGTGGCAGTAGTGGTAGAGATAATGGTGGTAGTAGTGGTAGATGATGGTGGTAGTAGTGGTAGAGATAATGGTGGTAGTAGTGGTAGAGATAATGGTGGTAGTAGTGGTAGAGATAATGGTGGTAGGAGTTGTGGTGATAATGGTGGTAGTAGTGGTAGAGATAATGGTGGTAGTAGTGGTAGTAGTGGTAGATGATGGTGGTAGTAGTGGTAGAGATAATGGTGGTAGTAGTGGTAGAGATAATGGTGGTAGTAGTGGTAGAGATAATGGTGGTAGGAGTTGTGGTGGGAATTATTTATAAGTCATCGGCCAAACATCATGACGGATGACTTCCTTCATGACTCAGTACTGTACAGTCTAGCACACGGTCTTATTATTTCCCTGCCTCTTGTTTATGGCTGCTGGGTATGTCTTGTTATCATGTCTAGCCATCTGTATCGGTGTCTAGCCATCTATCAGTCTACTGTATCATGTCTAGCCATCTATCAGTCTACTGTATCGGTGTCTAGCCATCTATCAGTCTACTGTATCATGTCTAGCCATCTATCAGTCTACTGTATCATGTCTAGCCATCTATCAGTCTACTGTATCGGTGTCTAGCCATCTATCAGTCTACTGTATCGGTGTCTAGTCATCCATCTATCTTTTTTCTGTATTTATCCATCCATTTATCTGTTTGTCTATCTAAAAATTATTTAATTATCTATCTGAAATAATCTATCTATCTGCCTATCTATTCACACACACACACACACACACACACGCGCGCGCGCGCGCATAGCAGCAGTAATCTTACCACTGCGTCATCAGATACAGTCAGCACCTGCCCTGACCCCCCTAGACCACCTGACACCTGACCACCTCATAACCCCCTTGGCCACCCCCTGACCCCCTCCCCCCGGAAACCACCCCTGGGACCACACAGCTGTTGTAGATGAGTGTCTCGATGCGGAACTCACAGGTGGTGTAGATATGAGTGTCCGGGATGCGTCACTCAAGGGAGGTGATGGCCAGCTGTGTGAGCCAGAGCCAGACAACAGTGGTGAAGGGAGGGGGCGGGAAGAGCCTCTCCTCCCGTGTTGTGTTGCTTTGTTGACGAGTTCAGGGCCACACTGAGTTATGTACTGTACTATTGGGTGGACAGACAGCCGAGGGAGAGAGACAGTCAGATCAGACAGACAGACGAGGGGGAGAGACAGTCAGATCAGACAGACAGACGAGGGGGAGAGACAGTCAGATCAGACAGACAGACGAGGGAGAGAGACAGTCAGATCAGACAGACAGACGAGGGGGAGAGAGAAAGAGACGAGAGGTACAGTATATTATCAATTATCAGCACGAAGTCTCAGACCATCACGCTACGCTATCCTTCACTCAACATTCGCCCCGGTACTATCCTTCCCCTAGTAGTGCCCAGGTACCCCCCTCCCAGTACCGCCAGTAGCGTCCCAGCACCCCCAGTAGTGCCCCGGTACCAGCCCCCAGTACCTCCCAGTAGTGCCCCGGTACCAGCCCCCAGTACTCCTCCCCAGTAGTGCCCCGGTACCAGCCCCCAGTGCCCTCCAGTAGTGTCCCAACACTTCCCAGCACCCTCCCAGTAGTCTTATACCTACCATTATCTGTCAAATCTACCATAATGTACCACACCTGACCATAATGTACCACACCTGACCATAATGTACCACACCTTATAATCTACCAGTCTACCATACCATACCATAACCTGCCATAGCATAAATCAGCCCCATGTATGTATAATAAACTTTATGTATCACTAAACCATATATGTATACTCCACCTAACAAACTACCAGCTGCCCATGTATACGTACTCTATGACTGCTAAACATGAATACACTCACCTCTGTGTATGGATGTACAGTATGTATGTATAACTACTCAACATGTATACCCCACAGAGTACCGTCCCCTCACCCCTGTATGTATATGTATGTATACTCAACATGTACACCTACCCCCAGAGTACCGACCACCCACCACGAAGAAAGGACCCGTCAAGGTGGAGTTCACTGTGTATATACAAGACATCAACTCTATCAACGCCGCCGATATGGACTTCAGGTGAGTCTATTGTGGTCCGGATTCGGATTTGGGTTTAGATTCGTGTTCAGGATTTGGATTCAAGATTCGGATTCAGATTTAGTTTAAGAATTCGGATTCGTGTTGAGGTATGGATTCGGTTTCACGTGATAATAATAATGATAATAATGATAATAATAATAATAATAATAATAATAATAATAATAATAATAATAATAATAATAATAATAATAATCACAGTTAAACAGTAATAAATTAGTCATCAGACGGACCTGTCTCTCCGTAGGGTGGACCTGTTCCTGCACATGACCTGGAAGGACACACGATTCAACCTCAGTAGTCTGGACTTCATACCAGGTCGTGAGGGAGAGGACAGTTACCTCACTCTACCTGCCTACGTCATCGACCACATCTGGACACCTGATCCTTATGTTACTAATGCTAAGGATGCTGGTTAGTCTCTCTCTTTCAGTGATACAGATTCAAAGTCAGATTTTGGGGTTATCAATACAACCAAAATCTATCTTCAATCGATTTTTGCCCCACAATCTCAGATTTTAATATTGGACCAATTAAAATCTGGACATTGGTTTCCATTGATTTATATGAATAATTGTTTCAAGGACAGATTTCAATATTAATCGTATTATTCCTAAATCCGGTGTAATCCTCGTGAAGCCACAGTAATAACCGGAGTTTATCAGATTACACCAAGCAGCGGGATTATCTGAAGGATTACTGTATATAACTGTGTTCTATAATCAGCTAAGATACAAAAAATATATCACGTGATTATTTAACAGACTGACTGACTTGACACATTGCCTGACTTGATAATTACAGCAGTTATATGCAGTAATTACAGAACTTTCGTTAATACGTACCTTGTTAAGTGACAGATGTTGGTAGGTGTTCACATAGAGTAGTCGGGGTCAATCACCTGTTACCTTAATTAAAAGCTCCACCTCCAAGTAATAATTAATCACCCCTTCAGAACACACAGGTACAAAGCCCTATATTACCTAGTGACGTCAAGGCACATTAAGGTCAGGTTAGGTCAAGTTAGGTTAGGTTTGTTAAGGTGGCTTTTAGTGGCCCTGACGGTGTGTGTTTAGTGAGGTAGGTAATGGCGTCTCTCGCTACCACTCAAAACAAATACCATGTTACTACTACAACTATGACTATTGCTTCTATTACTACTATTACTCTTACTGCTATTTTTTTTTTTTTTTTTTTTCAACGTGGCCTCCAGCCTCCCCCAATAGCCACACCTTCGCCACCATGTATTTACCTTAATATCAAATATCCTAATACATAATAAGCTATCCTATCTGTGTTAAATTAGTTGAGCCGCAGATCTATGCGGCATTCAGTGACTGTAGCCTCATAGTCAATATCTGCAGCAGTTGTCGGAGTAGGGGCAGAAGCTCTCGTTCCCCTGAGGCAGAGCAAAGCCGACCGAAGGAGAGAGGACAGTCGACATCTCATCTTACTGCTATTACTACTACTACTACTACTATTACTATTATTTACATTATTACTATTACTGCTATTACTACTAGTACTATTACTACTATTACTACTATTACTCTTACTGCTATTACTACTACTACTATTATTTATATTATTATTATTACTGCTATTACTACTAGTACTATTACTACTATTACTACTACTACTACTATTACTCTTATGCTAATACTACTACAACTACTAATACTACTGCTAGTACTACCATTACTAATAGCAACAATTATAAACAAATAAATAAATATATTCATAAAACAAAACAAACAAACCATGACTCACCTCAACATAACAGTGGTGGAATTAAAACAACAAAAAAGTTCATTGATTACTACCAACGAGACGACAGTAAAAAATGTTTTTACTCTACGTAGCGTGTCATGGTGTGAGATTTAACGCCTGGGTGTGTCATCGTCTTCCAACTTCTTCTCTCGCGTGAGGACGGTGTACCGCCCAGGGTGTTGTTTATGATGCAACGCAGGACAATAATCACAACACACACACACACATACGCCATGTGTACGAAAAAGCGTGAAAACTCTTAAATCAAGTACAAATGTAAATAATAATAATAATAATAATAATAATAATAATAATAATAATAATAATAATAATAATTATAATAATAATAACTCATATTTCCTCCTGCTAAAATCCCACAAAAGCAAAACAGACGAATAAAAATATGAAGATACAAAGTACCCAAACACAGGTGCGCCAGGTGAGTTAACAAGACGTTAATTACATACCTGTAGCAGCTCGACCAATCGGGTGTATTTATCCTCCTGTAAAGTAAAATATTCGATTAGTAGTCGTAAGTGTTTGGAAGCATAACGTTATCGGGTAATGATTAACACTTATGAGGGTGTGGGAGTGTTATGTCCAAAATTAATTCCAGTTTATGTATTCGTAGTCTTCATTAACTAGACATTTAAATAATCTTCACATTTAATTAAGGTTGCTCGAGGTTAACGCCAGCGCCGAATGTTTTTATAATCGTGTTTTAATTCCAGTTTATGTATTCGTAATCTCTCTTACGTAACCCTCACTAACGTAGAAAATGTGACTAATTCCTCGTAGTGTTTTGTTATCCTGAGAGTTTCTTAAGTTTACGACTCTCGCACTTGAGGCTTTACGGTGACGTAACTGATGAAATCTAAAAAAAAAAACCTGACTTTTACATGACCCGGATCAATGTTGCTGCATGATGGGTTATGTAGATGACGTAAGGCTGCAGTGTACAGTACCTGGTTGGTGAGTGATTCATATATGTGAATCTGGACCAGAATCATCGTAAATCAGAATCAATGTGAATTTGGACCCTTGACAGATACATATGAAGAAGGAAAATAAAATTGATGTAATTTTAGTATAGGAATCGATATATATCTTTTAAAAACCTGTTTCAACTATCCCGAAATAAAACACAGGAAATAAAACACGCTTCAGTGACTCAATTGTCGGGTTTACAAATTATTCGGGTTCGTTTTGTGTTAGTGGTTCAGCGGAGTAATTGGTCAGGCATTGATCTCACGCCAGGAGGGTAGGGGGGGGTCACGCCAGGAGGGGAGGAGGGTCACACCCAGGAGGGGTAGGGGGCCGCCAGGAGGGGAGGGGGTCAGAGGGGAGGGAGGAGGGTGGGGGCGCCAGGAGGGAGGGGCCGCCAGGAGGGGAGGAGGGCAGGAGGGGGGGGGTCACACCAGAGGGGAGAGGGCTACGCCAGGAGGGAGGGGGGGGGAGGAGGGGTCAGGGAGGGGAGGGGGGGGTCACGCCAGGAGGGTAGGGGGGTCACGCCAGGAGGGGAGGAGGGGTCAGGCCAGGAGGGGAGGAGGGGTCACGCCAGGAGGGGAGGAGGGGTCACGCTAGCCTGCCTGATGATGGTTCATGTTATTAAGTCACCGCTACCATCAACCTCAGCTGTCAGTCTGTCTTTATGTTTGGTTTATATCTCTGTTTAACTGTCAGTCTGTGTGGCTGTTTACGTGTGGCTGTCTGTTGGTCTGTTTATCTGTGTTTGTTTGCCTGTCTGTCTGTCTGACTATTTGTACGTCTGTATCTGTTCATCTGTCTGGCTTTTGGTTAGGTTAGGTTAGAGGAGTTAGGTTAGGTTAGGTTAGAGGGGTTAGGTTAAGTTAGGTTAGAGGGGTTAGGTTAGGTCAGGTTAGGTTAGAGGGGGATAAAAACAATAACAATATCCCCCATAACCTATTAAGTCGTGGTGGTCGTGGTCGGGCAGAGTGGAGTCGTCAGGGGGACAATTACCCACATTAGTAAAGGTTAAGTCACTGTACTGGAGGCATCAGGAGACCCGCCTTACTGCACCTCCTGAGAGAGAGAGAGAGAGAGAGAGAGAGAGAGAGAGAGACTGAATTACCTCCGACCGTGGCAACTATACCTGAGAGAGAGCAAGACCCAAGGTAGCGTGAGGTACTGTTAGAGGTGTCTGCGAGTAGCCGGCGCAGTGTCATGTCAAACTGGCATTATGTAACACAAGTGTGTACACACACACACACACACACACACACACACACGCAGCGATTAATGTAAGATTATATGGGAGATTTATGGCCCATCAGAAGTGTTTAGGGATTACAATTGTTGCTGACCTCTCTCACACACACACACACACGATATTTACCTGGTTGAAGCGCCAGGTAACAGAATGATTAGTATATAAAGTCTACGGTGATCACAACCCATATTTCACTTACGGTTCCCCCGGGGGGGGGGGAGACATACCTATGGACACACGGACAAATACAAGTATTCCTAAATCCCGTTTTTGTACGTAGGGATAAACACACACACACATACATACATACACTCTCACCCACACACACCTACACAGACATACACCCACATACACCTACACAGACCTACACCCACACACACCTACACCCACCCACACCTACATCTCCCCCCCTCACCTTTGAGTCCTGTCATTGATCGCTCACTAATAACGCTCGTGGTGTCACCGTGTCAGCCATTGTCATGCCATCTTTGGTGCACACCGCTGCCTGTCATGTTACGCTGTCATGGCATCATTATTGCGCAGTGTTATGTCATGCCACGCTAGCTGTCATGCCATTTTTACTGCGCATCGTCAAGCCCTGTCATGTCATGCTACCTGTCAAAACACACTATTTGTTAAACTTTCATACCACTCCATCTGTCACACACACACACACACACACACACACACACACACACACACACACACGACACATTACTCCAACACAATATTTTATCTGGGGGCAACAAAGTGTTAAGTGTAGATAGAGACCAAGATGACAGAGAGCGTCCTGAACGGCGGTGGTGTGATCAAAGTGGTTTACAAGTCAGGTATTAAGTCAGGTATTGAGTCAGGTAGTCATCATGGATCATATTTACTCACCTCAGGAGAGTAAATGTTAAGGTGAGTTTAGTTGTATGGTGTATTATTATTATTATTAGTATTATTGTTGTTATTATTGCTATGATGCCCGACTCACAAACACAAAGGTAAACAAACAAACAGCTGACTGCCCTTATACCTCACTCAAAGGTAAACAAACAAACAGCTGACCGGCCCCCTCTCTCCTCCTCCAGCCATCACCAAGCTGACCACCACCTACGCCTCCGTCACGCTGCACCAGTAACCACACCGTCAGGTACTCGGCGAGGCTCTCCAGCATCATAGCTTGTCAGATGGAGTTCCATGGTTATCCCATGGACGTGCAGACCTGTGCTATGATCATGCAGAGCTGTGAGTATGATGACAGATGATGACTGTATGATGACGTAGAGCAGTGAGTATGATGACGGATGATGACTGTGGACTGTATAATGATGTAGAGCTGTGAGTATGATGACTGTGGACTGTATAATGATGTAGAGCTGTGAGTATGATGACTGTGGCCTCTTTCATCATGCAGGGAGTCATACGTGTCCTCTGGATGTGGCCAAATCCTTTACTACCTCCTTGAGTACGATGACTTAACCTCTCGAGTACAATAATATCGTACTTACTGAAACAAACCATCATGTGTGTGTGTGTCTACTTTAGTTTTACAATATTTCACTTATTATTCCTACAAAACACTACAGAAATCAACAAAATATACATAAGACAAAGAGACATTTATTACACTACATTTTATTAGTGCTACATAAACACTACCAATTATAAGTGTCATAAGAATACTACCAATTAAGTCATAAATAAAGAACAAATACTTAAAACTACTTATTAATATCTCAGGGTGTCTGGGATTTGTTGTGGTAGTCACTATATAGAGGTCATATAAGGTCACTGACCCCCTTAAATAGAATAGTAGAATAATGGGTGAATAGATAGATAGATAAATAAGTATATAGAGCCATATTAGACACAGGTAGAGACAGACAGACAGACAGACACGCGCGTTAAAGATGTGAGGAGAGATAATGGTACCGTGGGCATCAGGAGGAGGAGGAGGAAGAGAGGAGGAGGAGGAGGAGGAGGAGGAGGAGGAGGAGGAGGAGGAGGAGGACGGGGGAGAGGAGGAAGAGATAAGGAGGAGGAGGAGGACGGGGGGGAGGAGGAGGAGGAGATAAGGAGGAGGAGGAAGAGATAAGGAGGAGGAGAGGACGGGGGAGGAGGAGGAGGAAAGAGATAAGGAGAGGAGGAGGAGGGTAGATGCAGTGCCAACCTCCGCATAACACAAAGGGTCATTATATCCAGCGACCATAAACTGTTATGTCACGCATTTATAACCATCACCACCTCCCTCCCTCTCCCCCTTCTACCCCCTCTCTCTCTCTGCCTCCCTCTACCTCTCTCTCTCTGCCTCCCTCTACCACTCTCTCTCTCTCTCTCTTCCCTCCTTCTACCTCTCTCTCTCTCTCCTCGCCTATCACTCTCTCTTCCCCCTTCTACCTCTCTCTCTGCCTCCCCTCTACCTCTCTCTTCCCCCTTCTACCTCTCTCTCTCCCTTCTACCTCTTCTGCCTCCCCCACCTCTCTCTCTGCCTCCCCACTCTCTCTCTGCCTCCCTCTCTCTCTTCCCCTTCTACCTCTCTCTGCCTCCCCTCTACCACTCTCTCTCTCTACTCTCTCTCTCTGCCTCCCCTACCTCTCTCTCTGCCTCCCCCTACCACTCTCTCCCTCTCTCTGCCTCCCTCTACCTCTCTCTCTCTCTCTGCCTCCCTCTACCTCTCTCTCTCTTCCCCCCTTCTACCTCTCTCTCTCTGCCTCCCTCTACCTCTCTCTCTCTCCCTGTCTCCTCTCTCTCTCTTCCTCCCTTCTACATCTCTTTTCCTCTCTACCTCTCTCTTTACCCGTCTCTCTCTCTCTCTCTCTTTCCTCCCCTCCATCTCTCTAAGTATAATAACTTAACACCTTGAGTACGATGGCGGAAAACTCCAAGTAAACAAGACCAGATTCACGTACATGACCTTGGTATAAATTAACTGTGTCTGGTAACTGGTGCTAAGTGAAGCTACAGTATCTAGTTAAGGTTATAAAACCTCAGTGTAATTATCAGTGTATTTTAAGACGCATCTTTAAGGGCCCGTGAGAATCTTCTGCCATGACGCAGAGGACAAGGTTGGTCCTGAGTGACGCAGTGTCCTCACACACCTTCACTACCGCAATGTTTACCGCCGCACTTCACCACAATAATTACTGTACTTGATTACCGCAGTTATTTTAGCCTTACGTCACGGCAGCTGTTGTGTATAGGAGTATAGAAAGGTACTGTACCACACTTATTACTGTACCATATTGTACCTAACCTAACACTAACGCGTAGATAACATTAACCTAACATAATCCTAACCTAATGCGTAACCAATAATGATTTAACTTACAAAATAATAAGCTAATCATCAGCTGCACTAGTTTAACACATATATAACTAATAATGATCTAGCTTACAATCAATAGTAATAGGTTTTATTAGGTTGTGTTAGTTGAGGTTAAATTATGTTAAGTTGGGTTTAGGTTAAATTATGTTAGGTTAGGTTTAGTTTAAGGATAGATTAGGTTGGAGTTAAATTAGGTTATATTATGTTAAATTTGGATAGCTTAGGTGAAATTAGTAACAGAATGTTCATTTATCGGGTGAAATATGCTAGGAATGCCTAATCTTCAGGTGAACCATTATAAATTCAAGACACCTTCAGCCAATTAGGTCGCTCTGAGAATTCCCTTTGTCCTTTCAAAATATCATCATAAACTGAGGTGAAATATTTTACCTTAAGCTAAAACAAACATAAGGTACTTCACTGCACCTTTGAGATAAAATATTTGACTTGAGAATTTTCTTTGTCCTTTGAGAATACAATTATAGTTTTAAGATAAGTGTTTGTGTCGTAACTTACACTAGAAACAACATATAGTATTAGGAAGTTCACGACACATATTCCTGCTGTTAACGACGCCATGTTGTGTGTGTGTGTGTGTGTGTGTCTGTGTGTGTGTGTGTGTGTGTCTGTGTGTGTGTGCGCGTGTGTGTGTCTGTGTGTGTGTCTGTGTGTGTTTCGCTAATGCTGATATTATGCAACCTGCCGCATACACATACACACATACACACACATTAGTTGCATGAGAACATCGTTAACAGCCCAATTAGTCTGGCACAGTGTACAGTTGTAACTACCCTCTATGATGGTCGACCTCGTGGTAGATGTTATCGCCTTAATTAAGGAGGACGCCTGGCTCATGTAGGTTAGGTTAGGTTAAGTTGGCTTAAGAAACGCCCTAGACTCAATACACACACACACGGTCATGTACACACAACATCTCCCACAGTCATGTACTCGCCCAAGGAGGTAGAGTTTCACTGGAGGTCGTGGTCGCCGGTAATGCTCAACAAGGACCTCAAGTTACTGCAGTTCACCCTCAGACAACCTCTCCGGAACTACGTTAACACCTCCACCCACGACGAGCTGGGACGTGAGTACTAGTGGTGCTTCTTACTGGCTAACTTAACGTAATTATTGACTAATTTAACTTAATTGTTGTCTTACTGTCTAACTTAACGTAATTGTTGGCTAACTTAACGTAATTGTTGTCTTATTGTCTAACCTAGCACTATAACTGTCTAACCTAGCACTATAACTGTCTAACCTAGCACTATAACTGTCTAACCTAGCACTATAACTGTCTAACCTAGTACTATAACTGTCTAACCTAGCACTATAACTGTCCTAGCACTATAACTGTCTAACCTAGCACTATAACTGTCTAACCTAGCACTATAACTGTCTAACCTAGCACTATAACTGTCTAACCTAGCACTATAACTGTCTAACCTAGCACTATAACTGTCTAACCTAGCACTATAACTGTCTAACCTAGCACTATAACTGTCTAACCTAGCACTATAACTGTCTAACCTAGCACTATAACTGTCTAACCTAGCACTATAACTGTCTAACCTAGCACTATAACTGTCTAACCTAGCACTATAACTGTCTAACCTATCATTATTGTCTAACTTTATATCCTTAATTCCTCAACCTCAGATAGTTACTGTGGTTCTTGACTATACGAGTAAACACTAACGCATTACTCTACTTTAATTTTCATGGTGTCTATGTGATGATGCTGGTGATGATGACGGTGCTGGTGACGGTGCTGGTGACGATGCGGGTGTTGGTGGGTGCTGGGTGCTGGTGGGTGGGTGGGTGCTGGTGTGGCTGTGGTGACGAGTGCGGTGTCTACTGGTGCTGGTGACGGTGCTGGTGACGGTGCTGGTGATGCGGGTGTTGGTGACGGTGCGGTGACGGTGCTGGTGTGTGGTGACGGTGGGACCTGCTGCAAAATGATGCGGGTGTTGGTGACGGTGCGGGTGTTGGTGTTGGTGACGGCGCCTCCAAAGAACAGATGGAGAGCGACACGTGAGACAGTTGGTGGTGGAGCTGGAGTTCTCGCGGGAGATCGGCCACCACTTGGTACAGACCTTCGTGCCGTCCTTCCTGGTGGTGGCGTTGTCCTGGTTCAGTTTCTGGCTGGGTCTGGAGGCCATCCCTGGGCGGGTCACTCTGCTGGTCACTTCCCTCCTCACTATCACCACGCTCTTTACTGGCATCAAGGAGGGGCTGCCACCTGTCGCCTATGTCAAGGTAACTCTTTCCTACGTTACTATGATTATCTTTGTGTGTGTGTTGCCAGTTCCGTGTGTGTGCAGAATACAGTCCGGTACATTTTTCCAGTGATACTTTTGTAATTGGGTTAAAATAGTGTTTTCTCAACACAATTTCGTTTTGTTTATTGTCCAGTCTTCATTAGCTGCGCCTATATTAAAAAAAAATAACTCTCCACTCATCTGCAACCTCTAGAAAAAATATATAAAACTTTCTGAGGTAAACACTACTACACACCGGGAATAGCTTAGTTAGACTTGTCATCAAATTTCTTTGTTAAAAAACGAGGAAACTTAACAGTTAAGCAGTAACTCGTATAAATGTTACGTCACAGAGAGCTTGTGGATCACTTATCATTATTATATATAGTGGAAGGTAATTTGGTGTTTCCCGGCAGGCCATCGACGTGTGGATGGCTGGATGTATGGTGTTCATCTTCGCTGCTCTGGGAGAGTTTGTGGTGGTGCGGGTGTTGAACGTGATGCACACCCACTACCAAGTTGAACCCACCTTGCTGCCCACCCACATCCAGCCCAACTCCGCCCACTCAGTAAGTTTCCTGGATTCGGATGGACAATGATTTCTGTAAGTTGATTCTATCTCTAAATTAGTGTTAAGAGGACCCGCCCAGCTAAGATGTGAGGAAACCGTCTCAGGATATTATACTATCGGGTCTAAACTAGGCTTTCTTACACCTTCAGTTATGACCAACAAAATACGTATGACTTTCTGAGCCCGGAAGTGCATAACTTGAGGTACGAAAACATGCAAAAAAAGGGTACACATGACACCCATGATAAATGTTCATTATATTTTGCTTATAACGAAATTGCAAGACACATTATTATCTATATGTGTGTGTGTGTAAATATGTACGTTAATTATAAAAGTTTGCAGCTCTATAAGTAAGGATCATGTTACAGTTTGTTTACTTATAACAGTAGGTTGAGTGGGCTTAGTCAAGGGATGATCACCCACACAGTGTTAATCTTCCCGCCTGTGCTTCAGTAGTTGCCTCCAGCCCTCAATACTACTACACTGCTGAGACAAAACACTTTCTCCTTCACCAATCAGGTTGTTCACTCTTCCAGAAATATATTGTGGTCTTATATCATTGCCGTATTAACCATTCTTATATAAAAAAATAATATTGTTGAATTTATCGATCAGAGAACTATAATCTCACATTCCCACTAAAGATTTCTTGTTTTTAATTGTTATTATTTTCCAACGCCTCTTACCGTACGTATTTCGAAATAAAAAATAAAAATAAAATATATAGAACCTTAATATCGGTGCTTAAAGACGCTGTCAGCAAAAAGCAGCTTGAAAATAAGTAGTATATTCTATAAATTGCTTCATCGTCCAGCAAGCAGTATTGAGGAAGCTTATATCTGACCCCAGTAATACGTTCCTGAAGGCGTGCTTTAGCGCTTAATGATGACAATAATGTTACAGCCACACAGTGAGGACAAACATGACCAGAGGGCCGATCACTTCAAGAGATTTACCGTCATGTCCAACAAGACCAGTGACAATGGCGATAAAACTCTCTCCGCGCACAACAACAACAAGTTCAGTGACTTGACGGTTAGTAACACGTAGTTCATTAGAGCCTCGGCTAATTTATATTTTTATTACTTTAACTTTGTATATGACAGGAGTACGTTTGACGCATGTAGAGTATATTAGTAATTATTGAGTCTTGTCGCTACTCCATCTTTTTAGTGTATTTTATTATTGTTACGGCTATTATTATTACTAATGTTGGTGTTGTTCATTTGTTTTGTATTTTCCCATTTTACAGTTTCTATGAGTGAAAATAACAACCATGTGTATAACAAACCTGAACAATAACAATAGCTGGAGATGAAAAGATTGATACAGCAGACAGTAACAAAACAATTATTCATTTCAGCAACCTGGAGAACAATACAAAAATATCACCTGTATTATCAACTACTATATTACACAACTTGGAGAGTGACTGCACATAAATTTCACCATTACCATCAACTATTACAATTACAGAACAACTTGGAGAACGGCGGAACAGTTAGAATGGTGACAGTGAACGCCAGCCCCTCTATGATGTCCGCCTGGGACCCTGAGACTGGCAACGTGAGACCACCTCGCTCACGGCACCAATTTGGCCGCCCCAGTCTACAGTGGGTCGACTCCAAGACAGGAGAGAAGAAAATATTATGGAAGGAAATTGACAGAGCATCTCGGATTGTGTTTCCTCTCATGTACCTTCTGTTTATGGTTATTTATTTCCCGATTCTTATCTCCAGGGTGTTTTAAAAAGAGTTGTTGAGATTTCGAAGTAAGCAAAGTGGATGGAAGTGAGAAGTATATATGAACGTATACCTACTGGTAACGAGTACGGTATATACTTCCGATTGCTTAGCTATTGAGAATTTCTTGAATATTTAAAAAAGAAATGCATGAACGTTTAAATGAGAACCTCCTTGTTGTTTTAAAGTAATGGAGATTTTATGGCGGGAAATGGACCTAAGTTCCGCGTATTGTGTTAGTACATTTAGCCTAATCATGTTTTTGTGACAATATATTTCCTGATTATTATTTTATACTCTTTTAAGCTTTCATTTTTATTTTCAGAGAGATATTGTTAGTGGCTTGAAGTTAACGAGTTATTTTAGAGAAAGAAATCGCCACAAGTTGATCAATAATATACTTTTAGTTTTTTTTTCTTGATTCTGATGAGAACAAGCTAGAGATGATGTCAGTAATATTTGGAGAGTACGTTGCGAAATAAAGGAAAAAATACGACGACTCTACAGCGTTTTTCTCGATAATTTATATATTACGGGTACGACTTTCCATTTCAATTAATAGTCAAATTTTAATCTACCTAAGTGTAAAATGTGGCTTAAAAACACGAACAATTACCACATCAAAACCTGAACAAATATAACCTAACGTAACCTACAGTTAGGACACTTTACGTAAGTTTGCGCAACACTATTGGTCTTTAAAATGTCAATAGTACTGTCACTATGTACAAAAACACCTTGAATGGTTTGCAATTGAGATAAATATTCGTGACGCCATAGAACCATCTTAAAACTTAGCAGACAAAACTCCGCCTGACGTAGCAAGAGCTGAAGACCACGTCAAGCCTAGAGCGCCGCTGGTTGGCTCAGTCTTCATTCTTATGTGATGTCGAAAAAAAAAAGAACTCGAAAAATATAAATTTACGCCAAAAAACACAATAGAGTAAAATATTCTTTCTTTTTTCGTTCTAGCTCCCTGACATCCTAGTGCTGATATGATACAAAATAGAGAATTGTTAGATGTAAACTTCATATAAGTGTATTAATGCGTTATTTGTTATTCTATGGTGTAAAGTTTATATTGAATATTCATAAACCAAATATTTTGTGTTTTAAGAAAAGATTTATATATTGAATGTTTATTAAGCTAATGTTTGGTGTGCTGAGACAAATTTGATAGAACTACGAATGATGGCAGTTCGCTCACACTGTGGAGCTAAACAAAGGTTGAACAACGTTCCCTACAAAGTTTATCTATATTTTGTTTCCCACGATTGAAATGTTCAAGAATGTCAGACAGTTGCTGTGCCGTAAGCTGTACGAATGATAAAATTGGACAATACATAATTATCTTCACCATTTTATCGCATGTCAAAAGGTCTACGATGGAAAAGCGAAGACGCGTTCCTTGGATGACAACCTTTGGAAGAGAAAACTTTTGTCTCAACATCAAATGATTTGTGGAGAACATTTTGTGTCTGGTAAGAATTTGTGTACTTATATTCCTTTTTGAAATCCGTTTGGTAGTGTTAGACCCAAGCAAAATGCATGGCTGACAACCAAATCTTGCCTGTGTTGGTATCAGACTCACCATTTTAGGTCCTTAATTAACTTATATTAATACTGTATTGACAAAAGCATATTCCTTACTGTTAGGGTGCCACATACCCCAACACTTATTTATACACGTTAAGTTGTTTAGAGTTTAATAAAAGTTAAATTGTTGATGTTTACTTAGGTAATAGTTGTCAAGTTAAACACTGACTGTAGAGATATTTATTGTTCGGATTCGTTACCTTACTGTAAGTCCGGTTGAGTTAAATTCAGTTGATTTTTTTTCCGTCTTAAAAAGTTACATTCAGTGGACTAGGTAAATAAAAACGGCCGTCGCAGCTAGGAATATTTTTTAGCAAGTGAACGGCAGAACCTCGTACCCTTTCGTTGTCACAAAGGAAAAGAGACAAATCGTTGAGCTTTTGAATCCAATGTTGAGAATTTCATCGGGATTTTTAGCATTTTTTTAAAGTATTAATGTATATAACATTTCAACGAAGGAAAATAATAAGTGTCGTCACAGTGTCTTAACTGGGAGTTCTATATTATCATGTCCGTAGTGTTATCATGTGTATGGTGTTATCATATCTGGTGTTATCATGTGTATGGTGTTATCACGTCCGGGCATTAATTTTTGTTTCCTGGTGTCTAAAAATATTGAAGGTCAAATTTCCTGCAAAGAAATTAAAAAAAAAAGATAATCTAATATCAGTTCTTTCAATTTTCTTTCATTCTTCTCCACCTTCTTCTTTCCTCATTATGTGTAATTTTCCTGTTCCGGCAACTTATTCGGTATCTTCCTGATGTCTGGATGCTTTATACCTCACATAATCAAGTCCTGTTTGGTGAGCCTCAAAGCTTACCGGTAAGCGACAACACCTCATAATTCTGTCGTGTGTGTAATAATAATTTCAGTATAAACTGGACCATCACGTGACCTGTGAGTGTCGTCACTCTGCCTTATCTGAAACACGTGTCATGACGCTGTGATATATCGTTGTTGTCTACATTACCTCCATCATGTTTACAATGTTCAGCACAATGTAAAATAAACTAATTCTCACCTGAAAATATAAATGGATCCGAAAATATGTAAATTATTATACGCATATGCTTATTTTTCAGTGTATACATGTAATTATGTGTGTGTTTTTAGAACCTTGCGTGATTCCGGAATTGCGTTAATTTGGAATTTCCGGACAATTATATACGACATTTACAAACCTAGCTTCACTTGTTCGACTTTTTATCCCTATGTTAACCTTCCCTACTGTAGCCTGACTAAGTAATACCTTAAATGATGTTAGGAATAATGTCGAAAACGCGCAGGTTTCGAAAAGGCGCACATCACTAACACAACTGAGGAGAACAAATAAGTCTTGAAAAAAAAAATCATGAGTGTCAAACATCAATACGTTATAATATTTTTATTATTATACGTTTCATGTTTCTTCCTATAATGGACGACTGTCAATAAAACAATAGCGACTGTCCGGTGTAATAAACCTGCGAACTTCCTGTCGTCTACGCCAGGACCTTAGGCTATTTTATTATTGTTACATTTAGCAACTCTGAACGTCTATCCTGACAAGCAACTTTCTCCGTAAGCCAGTCTGAAACATAGTTTTTTTCTATTGTGTTGTTGTATTTCAATAACTACAGTCTAGAAGGACATAAACCGCTTCTGTTCTTGCACTACACAATAGCGATATAAAGTTAGGGAAAAACACGAGAATTTAGTCCTATTTTTTGACGACAGTATTTCTCGTTATCTGCTTTGGATATAATATTTCCTGGCGATAACTTGACTCTCTTATATTAATCACCAGGAAAACTCCCACAGTATGTCAGAAAAGGTAATGGGGACTAATATTACTCCTTAACAGTATCAAAGTTTAGCTGTTAAATAATTCTTAAAGTTTACGAAGATAAAATATATATCAGAAAATAGATGTTGACTTAGACTGTACAAATTGAAGCCATTTTAGATGTATTTTCTTATTGTAACCTGGAAAAATTCTTGTAAATAATAATAATAATAATAATATGTTAGCTTATAGTTTTCTTCAGTGTATTTTGCGTGAGAGGAACCTGTTAACATTGTATAATTATATTCTATCATACTATTTTCCTTGATATATTTACGTTGGTATAGGTAAGGTTTGTTGACAATGATTTGTTATATATATTTTGGAAGAACTTGGTCTGTGTCTAAATTTTGGTTTGTTTGTGGCAATTCGTGAAAGTATTACACACACACACACACACAGACACACACACACACACACACACACACTGTAAATATAACCTTAAGTTTTCTTTATTAGATTTTATTCAAAAATTGTCTAGGTCCCACAATAGCGTTATCTTATAATAAGATTAATTTAGATTAGAGAATAAGCTTTTAGCGTTTTTACCCGTAATGGGCTGCTGCTAAGCCTGGGTGTCATTAAGCTAATGTTTATTTCCAAGAATATTTTTTAGTCTGTCTTGTGCTTGTCCGTTTTATCAAGTACAGTACTGACCCAAACTGATAGTGTCCGTTCTTGATCTGGCAAACCCAACAGTTTGAGACATTTTGAAACAAAATGTCTCTAATATTCCAATATGGACTAATAATGAAGAGTACTGACTATTATGTTTACTGTAAGTTTCATCCAGGATGGAATAAAGTCTTGGCATGGTTCATTATTTTCTTGTTATCGTCTCCGTCAACGATTGACTGAAGTTATCTTGATATCAGTCACAGTTTTCGATGATGCCCTCCGCGAGGGTTGAGCAGCTCAGTGCACCACAGTACTGTGCTGTGCTGTGACCGACCGTGGTGTGTGACGCCGACGGGAGAACTTGTAGGTGGAATAATCCACATTTTTCATCTTTATATCTTATTGTTTGTTAATGTCATAAAATAAAGCCCACTTGTACTGGTCGTTTGTACTGATCCTCACACTGCTGTACTGACTTGACTGCTGAGTTTGTGTATGAAACTATTCACTTTATTATACAGAAAATGATTTATTCTAAGTTTGTATAAAACCCAAGGAACCTCAACAAATGTTCTCGTGGCAACAATATAATATATAAAGGAAATGTTTATATTATAATGAGAATATATTTGAAGCCTCGTGTGTGTGTGTGTGTCCACAACTTAATGTTCGTTTGTTATTTAACACCTCCAACAAGATGTATTCTCAAGTCTGTAATGTTATGGGATCTGTCCGTGTCCGAGCCTTTAGGACTCCAAGAAAAATGTGTGAATAAAGTTTCAGTTTTGTACAACTCTTCGATGTAAAGGCAGGAATGTTAAATATAACCAAATTAGTCATTACAGCACAAAGATAACATGAAATACGTAAAGTAGCTTCAAGAACTCACTACGCAGTATACGGTACCTTTAATAGGGATGATGACAGTCTAGTTATACAGTATACGGTACAGTTAATAGGGATGATGACAGTCTAGTTATACAGTATACGGTACAGTTAATAGGGATGATGACAGTCTAGTTATACAGTATACGGTACAGTTAATAGGGATGATGACAGTCTAGTTATACAGTATACGGTACAGTTAATAGGGATGATGACAGTCTAGTTATACAGTATACGGTACAGTTAATAGGGATGATGACAGTCTAGTTATACAGTATACGGTACAGTTAATAGGGATGATGACAGTCTAGTTATACAGTATACGGTACAGTTAATAGGGATGATGACAGTCTAGTTATACAGTATACGGTACAGTTAATAGGGATGATGACAGTCTAGTTATACGTAGCATATACGGCGTTGGACAGGTTAATAGGGATGATGACAGTCTAGTTATACAGTATACGGTACAGTTAATAGGGATGATGACAGTCTAGTTATACAGTATACGGTACAGTTAATAGGGATGATGACAGTCTAGTTATACAGTATACGGTACAGTTAATAGGGATGATGACAGTCTAGTTATACAGTATACGGTACAGTTAATAGCAGTGTTATACAGTATACGGTACAGTTAATAGGGATGATGACAGTCTAGTTATACAGTATACGGTACAGTTAATAGGGATGATGACAGTCTAGTTATACAGTATACGGTACAGTTAATAGGGATGATGACAGTCTAGTTATACAGTATACGGTACAGTTAATAGGGATGATGACAGTCTAGTTATACAGTATACGGTACAGTTAATAGGGATGATGACAGTCTAGTTATACAGTATACGGTACAGTTAATAGGGATGATGACAGTCTATAGTTCTCGTTGAGACAGATAGATCGTACAAGCATCTCGGTAACACTGTATGGCTCGGCGTTGGAGGCTGGTCGGCGGTCTTCTAGGTAACCTTTCTTCTCCTCTGCGACCATCCTGGGGAACCTGACGGAGACGCCCCTGTTAGCCACCCCCGAGGAGAAGCTGTACATGTCTGAAGTTTCGTGAGGCGACGTTCATTGTCTTTACCCTCGTGAGGGGCGTAAGCCTTCATGTGCTTCATGTGTACTCTGGAGAGCTTATCAATGGCTGCTTTAATTTCTTCGATGCCGTTGTCTGCCCTCATGGCCTCCGTCGAAAAGTTACAGTGTAGACCAGCTCCGTTCCAGTCGCCGACGATAGGCTTGGGATCCAGAGAGATGACCACATTAAAGTCTTCGGCGACGCGGTGAAGAAGGTACCTGGACATCCAGCGGTCGTCGACCATACTTATCCCTCCACTCGGCCCAATCTGGTACTCCCACTGTGCCGGCATAGTCTCAGCGTTAGTCCCCGAGATGGTGATGCCGGTGTAGAGACACGCCCTGTAGTGGGCCTCCACGCCACGCCCGTAAACCTTGTTGGCGCCCACACCACAGTGATACGAACCCTAGGGTCCTGGGTAGCCATTCTTGGGCCAGCCCAGAGGATGCTTGTCAGTGTCCAGCAGTGTGTACTCCTGCTCCATGCCGAACCAGGGGTGCTGGTCCGCGGCTTTCTTCATCACTTCCAGGCATTTCCAGCGCTGGTTAGTATCTGTTGGCTTCTTGTTGTACTTGTAGGTCTCACAGAGCACCAGCTTGTTGTTACCCAGTCTGAAGGGATCCCGATAAATAGCTACCGGGTACAAGTACACGTCGCTGTTGCTGCCTTCAGCCTGGCCCGTTGATGACCCGTCGAAGTTCCAGATTGGCAACTCTGGAATTAAATGTCTGCATTTAATACTAATTATCGTCAACTCCTGCCAAGAAGAACTACCGTGAACACAATAAATTAAACTATAAGGAAGTCTTACAACATTATCAACCTTTACAAACTTCACACAATGGCGCCCATGATAAATATGTTGAATACGCCATCTAAAGAAGGCGGGTGTTAACAGGGTGGGAGGAAGGAGAGACTCTTGGGTGACTCCTACACCGCACGAGCTGGTTCAAGATAACGGTGGCAGGTTTTGTTCACAGCTAAATCTTCCCAGAATACTTCGTTCACGCTGGTCCTTGTTGAGTAGCTGAGCATTATCTTAGTTTATCACCCCAGGTGCTCCCAGAGAGAGAGAGTCACTTCAAACAGCTGTGTACTGACTGATAACGACCTCTTAAAAACATCACCAGATAACGTCAGCTGAATGCGTCCCGTCCCCTTGGCACATCATCCAAACACCTCAGACAAACCCTAACAATTTTGGTCTCATGAAACACCCGATACGTTGCTTGAATCTATTTCAATTATTAAGACAACTCCCACCAACACTTCCAGACCTAACCAAACCTGTCACCCACATGAGCTCTCAAAGGTGTATTAGTAATGTTCTATTAAGTAAGGTAGATACAGGTGATGTCCTTGCCTACAGGTGTTGCCCTTCTCATTACAGCTCTTAACTACAGTACTGCTTCCCTTCCCTCAATTATCTGCTGTCATATCGAACACACACACATACACTAATACACACATACACTAATACACACATACACTAATACACACATACACTAATACACACATACACTAATACACACCTACACTAATACACACATACACTAATACACACATACACTAATACACACATACACTAATACACACCTACACTAATACGCATATACACGAATACACATACACGAATACAGTACACATATACACTATACACTAATACACACACACACACGTTATCGATGTACAACACAATAAACGCCAACAGTATAATTTCTCTGTAACACAACACAGGATATTATAAAAAAAATGCTGTTATCACGAGGCCTCGACGCAGGAGTCACCTTATTCACGAGGCGCTGCTGCCGGACATACCTGGAGGAGAGGTGAGGGTGGATTCCTGGGATGACTCTGATATCCTGATTCTGACTTCTAATCTAACCTAATCTATCAGTGATTTAACCTAATCAGCCTAAAGCCTATCCTAACATGCTCCCTAATCTAGTCTTGTCTAATTAAACCTAACACGCTACTGATTTAACTTATAATAATCTAATCTGACTTACATTAACCTAACCTAACCCATCCAAAACCTCGCATTTTGTATAAAATATTCCATTCGGGTCAAGTTGTATTGCGGTGTGAGTGAGCGGCGCCAGGGAAATGCTTCTAGAGCCTCAATTGGGAGAAAATATATAGCGTACAATAGACATCTTTGACACTCCGGTGACTCGCTTCTCTACCGTAGCTAAATGCATTCACTTGAGAGGTTACTGAAGCATATTGCTAATACACAACACTGAATACTAAACCGAGCCGACTTGTTGCTTGAGCCGCTGTGCCCACTCGACCCCCGCACCACTGACTCGTTTAGGGGAGAAATGAAAGACACCTGGCCTCTGGGTGCTGGGTGTTACCAGGCAGAATCTCAGGCTCTTCCAGCATCCCTAAATTGCATGACCTTCACTCTAGGAAAGGTTTACCTCGCATGACTTAAAGGTGTTGACTAATGTCATTGTAGATATGTGTGAGATGATGGTGACGATGCAGTGTTGGTGTCAAGTTAAGATTATAGTGAAGGAATACATGGAGGTAAACAACACCCAGTACCGAATAACTTAACATGAGAAGAGCAAAATATCGTGATACTTTCTCAGCAACAATATGCTTTCTTACCTTTTGCTTTTGTACACGAATTTCAGAGTCCAGGCGAGGGCAGAAGTTATGCAGTCTAAAGAACGTCAATTATTAACGTCACAACACAGAAAATGGACGTTCATCGCAACCAAAGAAAATGGTTTTAAGTGAGCGTACACTCAAAACAACACAAGCACACTCTCCTGTTTGCTATACAAGACCTCATTCTTATCTCAGTTTTTGCTTGTCTATGTTAATTTTTCGCAATTTGTTTACTTGGACACGCAACTCAAGGTTAGGTTAGTGTTGAAGGTCTAATGCATCCTTTGTTGTATTAAACGCCACAAAAAACGGCTTTAGTGTGCACAAACTGTTGTAAACCAGACACCCACACACCACCACCTCTCCTTGACATGATAATTTTTCTAACCTTTTGGAGTGTTGGGCACAACGTTGAGGGTGCGGGTCTTAGAGCGGAGGTTCTCGCCGGTACCGTCCACCCACACATACATGGCCTGACATTTTTGCTGGTCTGTGAGGTCCAGCTTCATGTACCGGTCCAGCACCGTCTTGTTGGTTAAGGACCCTCCTAGATTGATCCCCATTCTGAAAAAAAGATCCATTGGAAATAGTAACTTCCCCTTGAATCAGCAGCAAGACGCACAACAATACGTAGAAATATCTCGTCATGTCATACACTCACAATATAACAGAAGTAATTATATCAAATGTGTGAACAATAATCGAGCGGAAAGCAATATTATCACGGACGAACATCACGGCTATATTACCTGAACATTCACTCAAGCGGAGAAGAAAAGAGATAAGTAATCATATATGTACAGCAGCTGGGGGAAGAACTGAACAAAGTGATCTGTCGTCTTCCTCCAGA